GGGGGGGGGGGGGGGGGGGCGCAGGGGTCTTGGCTCTGGCAGTGATGACTCAAAGCTTCGCTTCTCTTCTCCTTTGGGCTTGAGCAGGGTGTCTCTTCGACATCAAGTAGGGGCTGTGGACTGGCTTCGGACCGAGGACCTCGGCAGCCAAGGCCTTCAAATCCCTCAAGAAGATGGGGGAGGCGAACTCGGATCTTGGCTCTTAGACGTCAGACGACCGTGCTCCGGACACAAAGCTACCATGTTAGGTTTTGAAAAGAGCTCTGGGAAAGCTAAACACAAAAAACAAGTTGAGGGATCCTTGTGGAAAGCGATCAAAGCCAGACAAAAGCTGAACAAGAGTTATCCAAAAGCTACCAAAAATGCCAACGGAAGCGACCCCGCAACCGTGGCCCAGGTCATTGAAAGAGCGAGCTTGCTTGATTGAGCGCCCAGGGATTCCAGGCCCACCCCACAAACCCAACATCCCGCCGCACCCCCAGCCTTCACTTCGAACCGCAGCTGCCAGCTTGGCCTGCAGCTTTCCTCGCCTCAGAAATTAGCTCTCGTTTAGCTTTTTTTTACCGGCTCCACTGTCGGGGGAGTGCGCGCTGGAACTGTAGCGTTTCCCTAGACCAAGGCTCAAAAACGACACGAAAGCTAACCTCAAGCTACAAAAAGCTAGCAAAAAGATTGAAACAAAACAAGCTAACAGCCAGCCTTGGTCAAGTGTCCACCACAATGATCTGGTCCAGCAAGGCAGCCAGAAGAAAGCCATAAAACAACTCCAGCCAGAGGCTATCGCAAAATACGGGGTTGTACAAGACTGACCCAGGAAGCCAGCAGCAACCCGCGCGGCCCCGCCCAAAACCCTCCACGACAAACCGTGTTTTCCAACCGTGTCGAGGCGGTTCCATCCGAATTCTCCGTCTCTGTATTTCGCCAACCAACTTGTACTCGGAACTCCAGACGATAGCTTCATCTGTAGCTTTCATGTGGCTTGTCTGTGGGTTTTCTGTAGCTATTCGGTAGGTTATTTTGAGACCAAGGGTTTCTGGCGTCTCCAGGCACACGGCCCCTGATTCCCGGTGACAGGAGGCCCTCTCCTTCAAGAAGTTTGAGAAGGACCACAAAAAGACGGATCGGGCGGGCGCCTGAGCTCCTGAATTCCCGCTCAGGTCTACCCGAGTCTACCCACTATGCTCCACTAAACTACAGGCTCCCCAGTTCCTCAGGACAACCCTCGCCCCCCCCCATCCCCAAAACAAATCCTCCCTAAGCTCAATGAGGTCCGAAGTCATCAGATGAGCCTAGCAGCGAGCTCAGAATGCGAAGATGGCTTACTTCATGACGGTCTGTGCTTTGGGGTGATCATGTGTGTTTGGTAGTCATTTCTCCCGGAGACGTTTGAACCTGTGATCTAGGGGTATGCCAGCTTGCTTCTGCTTTGAAGCACAAACAAGCCGATTCTCCGAGTCAGCAAGAGTGTTTCTTGCTTCGGATGGCTGAGGACCGGGTCACGTCTGCATCCGCAGCAACTCTGCGGGGGCAGGTGTGGGTGCTCCGGAACTGCTCTTTGCTGTGTGATACTCCTGCAGTGTCGGGGCTTTGTGCGGGACTTCCCTCTTGGCAAAAAGCTCGGTTCATCACGTGAAAGCAACACACCCGAGCATTCGAGGGTTGGTTCCAAATTCACAAGCTTCTTGGAGAGAACCAAACCCTCACCTGTCCAGGGATGGTTACCCGGTGCTGATGCCAAAGAAGCAGTGTTTGGACCTCGGCAGTGGGCGTTTTGCGTTGGGATGTCCGCCGTCAAGCCCCGCAGTCGTAGATTCGTAAATCGTTGTTTGTCGAAGCAGGGTCGAGTCATGAGTCCAGAGCTTTGGGTGAGCTGAGGGCTTCGATACACATGGCCCTAGGATTTGGTCTTTCAGGGATGGGTGAAGGCTTCAAGGCTTAACCACTACCTTGCCGGTGCCCTGAGCACAACTATTGCGCAAAGTGGTCTGCACAGGTTGCCCTCGGAGATCGGTGTGAAGAGGACGGATGCAATCCCTGTATACCTCGCAGCCAAGTCTACAGTACTCTCAAGCTTTAAGCTTGGAGCACTGCAGGGTGTGTTGAGAGCTGCAAGCAGGAGAGCGGACGAGCAGGAGGGGGAGGTGGAGCTGAAAGGCAGAGGCCGGCAGCCCGGTGCTAGCTGCTATCCAGTCCCCAGAAAAGGACCCAAAACCTTTGAAACCCGCCCAGGTAAGGGCCAGGAAAAGGGTGGCGACAAGGGAAAGGGCAAGGGCAAGATGACCGTCAAGGACGGGATCTGAGAATCCTTCTAGCTTCTCCAGCCGTCGCAGGCTCCTGCCCCAACTCCTCACCATCCCCGAACCCGAAGCCCTAAATCGCTTAAAACACCAACCGCTGGTGCAAGCAACCTTCTTCCAGGAGCTGACAAAGTTGAAGCGCCAGTGTCTCAGCCCTTCTTAGGATCTCCAAGCCTCCCGGAAAAAGATAGGCGCCAAGACTGTTTGAGTCCTTGACAAAATGGCGCTTAGGGTCTAGGGCATTGGGTTTGAGGGAGAGCCCCTCTCGTGGTCTTCGTGTGATTTCCCCAGAGCCATCGGTCCACAACCAAACCGAATCCCACGCCCTAACCCGCTTCCTAAACCCTTGGCTCCTCCAAATGCTAAACCATAGATCCCACAGGAAAACCGGAAAGGCCTAAACAGCCAACCCGGCACTCCAAAGTCCCAAGTGGCCCCATTGAGTCTTGGAGGTTTTTTTTCTTTCGCCAGGTTTCAAGGGGCAGTCTGGTCTCGACCACAACGGAAAGGTCTGGAAGCCAGAGGTCTGCAACCCAGCCGGAGAGCTTCAAAGGGGCCTTGGCATGTCCGAGGCCGTTAGGATTTTTTGGGGGTTTCGGATGCTTTTGGGGGTTTAGGATGCAGAGTTTTGAGTAGGGTGTCGGGTCCAGGCTGCAGGCTTCCGGATTTCTGTGATGCTTGGCGGTGTCCTCGTATACCTGTGTGCTGGAGCATCGGCTGGTATTTCGGGATGCATGCGTGAACTTATTGTCTCAGCAGACGGAACGCGTGCTGTCTGTCGTTGAAATTCCGCCGCTACTTCTGCTTCTGTTGCTGCTATTTCACACGAAAGAATATAGCATGAGCATGATGGCAATGGTTGTGATGATGGTTGTTGTGATGATGGCGACGAGGCTGACGATCAAGGTGTTGATGCTAAATGGTATACCCAGATCAAGCGCTTGAAGTTCTCCCTCTCTCGCTGCCGAGATTTGGATGCAGATGCGCAACGAATTCGACTGAGCATCCTGCCCTCGTCTTGCCCTGGCTGAAAAGTCTTCGCTTGGGAGTGCATGGGTTTCTCCTTAGCCGGGCTCGATGCGGGAAGCACGGGAAGCTTGGAGACTTCTGATTCCGCTGCCGTTTTGGGCTCCAGCTGCTGTTCCCGCTTTGCAGCGCTGGGAAGCCAAGGCCGGGCATCCGCAGAGCCGATCGGGTTCGCTTTTGCAGTTGCTTGCGAGGTCCTTTTGACTATGGCGATCGAGGACAGCCTCGGGCCCTAGGGGGCTGACCCTCAACCCTACGGTGTCCTTGTAAGCCCAAACCTGCAGTGCGAGGCGGTCGCATGGGGAGTTTAGAAGGGCAAGGACTTCTGCATCGATCGCTTGCAATGCACATGCTTATGCATCTGTCGGCATGTTGTTCGAGTCAGCACGTGGCAGCCCTCCTGGTGCAGCCGATGTCCACGGAGAGATTCGTCCGCCGTCGCTGGGATCGGCAGATCGTAGATGTGGACGCTTTTTCAGGTGGCCAAAGCCTCGTCCACCGCAAAACGATTCCAAACACCTCTTCGACTGGTGCCTTCATTTCAAACACCACCGCACGGCTGCTCTGATTTCCTACTCAGTGCCGGGGTTGCCACCTCCTGTTGCCTGTTGCACCCATGGAACCCAGCTTCAGAGATGACCGTGGTTGCGGCTGCGCTCCCTCCAAAGCCTGCAGAGCCCTGCAGCTGGGGCTTTTCCACTGAGAAGGGTCGCAGAGATGACCACGGCGGCGATTTCGAAAGCATAGAGTGGGATGAAAGCCGGGCCAGGCATCTTCCAGAGGATACAGGTGTCTGGATGGAGGATTGGAGCCGATCCCTCCAGTATGCCAAGAGCACCTCGTGATTGGTGCAGTGCTTGAGGCTCTCCGCCGTCCCAAGGCGGTCTCCCCCAGAATCGTCACACAGGAAGACAGGGCCTACCTCCTCGACGTTGCCAGCCTCATCGCGGATGCCGAGCTTGCCAAATCTCTTGCACAGCGCTGCACCCGTTTCCCACGGAGGCTCTGGAGATACCACGAGTTTGTGCAGATTTCCGAACATAACGGCACTGCTTCGCAATCGACATCAAGGAGCAAGACATCCTTATTGCCGCCTTGGCCGCCGGCGTGGCACTTGAGACACTGCAGGCCCACGGCCTTTCGCTTATGGAAGCCATCGTAGTTTCCGACAAGGAGCTCTGGCACCGAGTGCGAGATCAAGGCAGTGGGCAGCTCAGGCTTTGGCCAAGGCGCAAGAAGGGCTCTTTTTTAATGGGGTGGCCCCCAGTTTGTCCTCGCCCGCGCCGGGGGCGGCCTAATCAGGCTGAGCCCTTCCCTCATGAGAGGGTTCCAAAAGCGAATGCGGTTGTCTCAGTGGAATGGTACCATTCGGGGTTTACGTTCTGGACTTGGCGGTTTTGCTTGGGCAGAGCGACTGTGCTGGACTCTGTGGGGTGCTTGAGGAGATCGGGACAGGCCGGACACTCCAAGTAAGCCCTGGAAGCGATGCCCTGGCTGTCACCGTGCAGCTGCTCGACCGGCTCGAACGACTCGACCTCGATTCTCGTAAGTTCGTGGACCGATCACATCGCATATCTCTCGGAGCGCAAGCAGCTTTGGTGAATTTGGCGCTGCCTTTCGCAGCAGAACGGCCGCCACTGGCCCAGGTTTTCGAGGGACGCGAGGCGGAGCTTCCATCCTTGGGCCAGTGGTGGGAGGAGTCAGGGCTCGGAGGGCACCAAGATGCTCGGAGTCCCCAGCCGATGGTGGAGGGTTCATCCCACGTACAGGCTGAGAGTGCCAGGGAGCAGTCTGCAGGCGCCAGCGAAACACAGGGAAGACGATGGAGCCGCAGATTGGCAGGAACAGAACTGGGATCCTTGGGCGCCCTATGCCATATGCACAAGAGGGCCACCATCACAGTCACTGTGCTGACAACCCAAAGCCCCACAGAATTTTTCAATCGTTTATCCAGTTTGAATTCATTGCGCAGGAGCTGGCGAACCTGTCCCAGGATGGTCCTGCGGAGTACACCGTGGCACAAGGTGTCTGCTTCATCAAGCCCTCGGAGGCCCGACGGAGGGCGGGAGGGCGGGAAGTTCGGGGTTAGCAATTTTGCAGGATCTTTGGAGTTGAGGTTGAAGGAGCTGAGTGGGCTCTGCATCCACGCAGATGCCTCGCTGTCTTGAGGACCCCCAGTCCGGCAAGATCCTGAAGGCCAAGAGGCCCGTGGGGCCACTGGGCCGCAGCAGGGCTTCCGGCAAGGAAAGATCCCTTGAGCTCTTCGAGGGAGCCGTTTTTGTTGGCCCCTGAGTCGGCTGAGGTCCAAGATCTACACAACAGGCCGCGGACTCGGACTGGCAGCCTCCGTCGCCTAGAAATGAGGGGCGGTTTCAGAATTCAGGGAGAAGACTTTGGGCGTTTTGGGGATTGCGGGATTAACTGATAGAGAACGGAAACGGGGCCCACCTAGGTCCAGAAAGCATGCTTGGAACATGGCATTCTCAAGAATCCCCCAAGACCGGCACGACTTTGAGCCCCCAAAATTTAAACCTTCGGCCCCATGTCACGAACTTCCAGAGCCTTCCGTCCCTGCTTTGCTCTCTTGAAAGCTCCTAGCACTCAGCACTAAGCTGCCCTAAAACTCAAAGATCCGATCTGCTGGAGATCATCCATGCCCGTAAATGTTAAATCCAGGACGTTCAATGCTTAACCTCCCCAAGGCTAGGCTAGGCCGGAAATGCCCCAAATCCTAAAGCCCAACCTTTCAAAGATTGCCCGAAGGCACCACATGGAAAGGGCCCCAGGGCGGCCTCTGGGCCGAGGCAGTCCCTTCACACCTTGGGGTGTCCTCTGTTACGAGTATCAGGCATCTGACGCTTTTATGACTTCTGTTCCTGTTCCTGGCAGTCCGTTTTAATTCCGTTATCACTGTACATTCGGTTCTTGTCACTTCGACAAGTGCCATGCACTGTTTTGTCGATTCCCTTTTCGCCATCACCGTCATCATCACCATCATCATCATCATCATCGTCATCAACCTCATCTCCCTCCTCCTCCTCCTCCTCATCCTCCTCACCATCATTATTCTCATCATGATGATGATGGTCATCATCATCATCATGAGCATGATCATCATCGTAATACTAGTTATCATCATATTCATAATCGTCATCTTCATGATTCATTGTCATCTTCACTCACCACCATCGTCACTATCATCAGAATCACGACACGTATCATTGTGATGGCTGTGTTTTTTCCTACCGGTGCATAATGTTTATGATCTACACACATATTTATGTTCGAATGTAGGTATGTATGCGGATACATGCTTGGGCACGTATGCAGGTACATGTGTACGTTCGTACATGCATGTATGCATGCACGCATGTATGTATTTATGTATGTATGTACGTAGGTATGTATGTATGTATGTATGTATGTATGTATGTATGTATGTATGTATGTATGTGTGTGTGTGTCTGTGTAATTCTGCTGTACATGCGACAAACCTTGCACCTTTTGCAGACATGTCAGGGAATGCACTTTTTCATTTTTCTTCATGTTAGATGCAGGGGGCCAGGAGGGGTGGGGAGGGGGTCCTGGCCAACGAAGACCCCCCTCCCCAACCCCGTGAAAACGTACCTGCCAGTATCCGCCCTGGGCCCCAGCGCGGGCAGCTGGGGGATACAATCATCTTCATTTTCATCCCCATTTCACTTCGTGCTGTGCCATTCCGCATGACCCGTACCCTCACGGATCATTTCACCTTGTGTTGGGTATGCCATTCCGTCGGTCTGGCATACATGGCACCAAAAATTTCATCTCATTTGTCGTTATCATCACCATCACCACCTTCATCATATTCACCATATCAAGCTCGTGCTCAACCAGGCAAGGTCGGATATGCACTGGCACTGTTGCCAACAAAGCTGTGTGTGTGTGTGTGTCTGTGTTTGTCTCTGTCTCTGTG